GGCTACTGAGTCGTGTTGAACTGGATCTCCTTCTTGCCTCACAAGGATTGTTATTCTGCAGACTGTGGCATCTGCAGAGACCCCCAACAGGGTACTTGAAAGAGCACAGTGGGTGGAGCCAATCAGGGGATAGAGGCAAACCAGGGGCTGCTGATACAGAACAGACAGAGAGAGCTGCAGAGGAATTTCCCTACACATGCTGTGGACTCTGGCCTCAAGTTGCAGTCCCATGTTCTAACTGCTATCTTATTAAATTTCTTTCTCTAGGTTTTACGTATCTGAGTGTTTTGTCTGCATGTGTGTATATGCCACTACATGTGTGCCTGGATCCCCTGGAACTGAAGTTAGGGATCATTGTGAACCAGCTTATAGATGCTGGAAACCACCCAGGGCCTCTATAAGAGCCAGTGCTCTCGGGCAGTGAGTCAGCCCCAGCCTCTAACGCCTATTTCATCATATTATTTTGTTTTTTTTTCTTTTTAAAATTAATTATTTTAGCCGGGCGTTGGTGGCGCACGCCTCTAATCCCAGCACTTGGGAGGCAGAGGCAGGTGGATCTCTGTGAGTTCGAGGCCAGCCTGGTCTACAAGAGTTAGTTCCAGGACAGCCTCTAAAGACACAGAGAAACCCTGTCTCGAAAAACAAAACAAACAAACAAACAAAAAGTTGTCTTCTGCCCTTCACATGTGTACTATGGTTTGAGTGTGGGAACACCAGACCTTGAGCAGAGACCCACTTCCCCTTCTGCCTGGGAGTAGGCAGCTGTAAGACAATGTTTAGTAAAAACATGTTTACTAAAAACGATACAATAAGTTCCTGGCCACTTCCCCTTCTGCCTGGGAGTAGGCAGCTGTAAGACAATGTTTAGTAAAAACATGTTTACTAAAAATGATACAATAAGTTCCTGGGAAAGGCCTTCCCACGGAAACCGCCCTGACCTCGACCTTGTCCAGAGACTAACCGCACCTTCAAAAACCCACACACATCCACCTCTGGTGTCAGAGCAGAACCAGCCAGGGTAGAGGAGAGAGCAGAAGCTTCTCTGGTGGGAGCTTTTCTTAGGAGGTTTTCTTGAACCTTTTTGGAGCCTGTTTAAAGTTTTCTTTATATCATTGAACGAGTCTCTGTGTTTTCAATACCCGACACCCTCCGCATGTTCTCGGACACAGGCCGCGCAGCAGACGTGACATTTGAGTTCAGACAAATGTACCTTGAAATAAATACTTTAAATGTAAGTTTTAAAAACTATTGAAGTTGGCAGTGGTGGTGCATGCCTTTGATCCTAGCACTCAAGAGGCAGAGGTAGGCATATCTCTGAGTTCCAGGACATCTTGGTCTACAAAGCAAGTTCCATGACAGCTAGGGCTGTACAGAGAAACCTTGTCTAGAAAAACAAAACCAAAAACAACAACAAAAAAGTCTTTGTCAAGAGAATGTGGAAAGGATTTTTTAAAAACATGTTCTGAGCCGGGCGTTGGTGGCGCACGCCTTTAATCCCAGCACTCGGGAGGCAGAGGCAGGTGGATCTCTGTGAGTTCGAGGCCAGCCTGGTCTACAGAGCGAGTTCCAGGACAGCCTCCAAAGCCACAGAGAAACCCTGTCTCGGAAAAAAAAAAAAAAAAAAAAAAGATGTTCTGATGTTCTGACCTAGGTTGAGGAGATGGTTCAGATCCTCAGTCTAGTACTCAAAAAACAAAAACAAACAAAAAACCCCTCAGGTAATTAGTGGCTGTAATCTCATCATCTCCATCGCTGGAGGGCAAAGACACACGGATTCTACAGACTCACTGGCCAGCTAGTTTAGTTGAAACAGCGAGTTCCAAGTCCAGTGATAGACCTTGTCCTAAAAAATATGGCGGACAGTGATAGAGGAAGACACCCAACCGTGGCCGCTGGACTCCACACAGGCAGGCATTGGCATGGCTGGAAGCACACATGTGAACACAGAGACAGAAAAGGAGGAGGAGGATGAGGAGGAGGGGGAGGAAGAAGGGGAGGAGGAGGGGCCAGTCAGGCATGGTGGTGGACCTCTTAAACCTCTTAAATCCCAGCACTGGGCAGGCAGAGGCCGGTGGATCTCTGTGAGTTTGAGGCAAATCTAGCCAAGTTGCAGGACAGCCGGGGCTACATAGTGAGGACCCTGTGAAGGAAAGGAAGAAGAGGAGGAAGAGGAGGAGGAGAAAGAGGAGGAAGAGGAGGAGAAGAAGAAGGAGGAGGAGGAGAAGAAGAAGAAGAAGGAGGAGGAGGAGAAGGAGAAGGAGAAGAAGAAGGAGGAGGAGGAGGAGGAGGAGGAGAAGGAGGAGGAGGAGAAGAAGAAGAAGAAGAAGAAGAAGAAGAAGAAGAAGAAGAAGAAGAAGAAGAAGAAGAAGAAGAAGAAGAAGAAGAAAGAGAAGAAGAGGAAGAATGCAAACAAAAAAAGGAAGGCGAACCCTGACCTTAGCAATCTTAGCAATAACTACCTGAAGGATCTCAGGACCAACAGAAGAGAACATGATAGAAACACATCATAAAATCTGGCTGGTTGAGCCTGGTCTCCAGAGCGAGTTCCAAGACAGCCTCCAAAACAATACAGAGAAACCCTGTCTCAAAAAACCAAAAAAAAAAAAAAAATCTGGCTGGTTGGTGGTGGCGCACACCTTTAATCCCAACACTCGGGAGGCAGAGGCAGGGGGGATCTACGAGAGTTTAAGGCTAGCCTGGTCTACAAAGCAAGTTCTAGGACAGCCACAGCTACACAGAGAAAGCCTGTCTGGGGAGGGGGGATCTCTAAGAGGTTCTAAAGGCTCATTTAATAACCAACTTCAAGGGAACTTTTTTTTTTTGAGACAGGGCTTCTCTGTGTAGTTCTAGCTGTCCTGGAACTCACTGTAAGCTACATTAGCCTGAAACTCAAAGATCTGCGGGCATCTACCTTTGGCGTGCTGAGATTAAAGGCAAGTGTCACAACTGTCAGTCGTGTAAAGTTTCTACATAAAACAGTTCCTCTTGTCATTGGGAGGTTGAAGAAGTTGGTATGGTTCGTTACAGCCAGGAACGGAGGAACATTTACAGGAAAGGATGGTGCAATCTGTTAAATTCTGTTAAGAAGTGTGATATCGAATGGCGTTGGTGGCGCACGCCTTTAATCCCAGCATTTGGGAAGCAGAGGCAGGCAGATCTCTGTGAGTTCGAGGCCAGCCCGGTCTACAGAGCGAGTTCCAGGACAGCCTCCAAATCAATACAGAGAAACCCTGTCTCAAAAAACAAAACAACAACAAAAAAATGTGATATCAGAGTTGAAAAGGATCAACTAATTCTGAGTAGGAGATCAGTGAGGACCTCAAACAGACATTGACCTCATCTATCTATCTATCTATCTATCTATCTATCTATCTATCTATCTATTTTTGATTTTTCCAGACAAGGTTTCTCTGTGTAGCCCTGGTTTACTTTGTAAACCAGGTTGGCCTTGAACTCACAGATACCCTCTGCCTCCTGAGGGGCTGAGATGTGCCACTATGCATGATTCTCAGACACTGACCTCTAAGTTGGATCTGGGAGTGTGAGTAAGTGTGGGACAAGAAAAGGTGGGACTTTCCTGGTCATCAAAGTCCAGGAGGAAGGCCAAGTCCAAGGCTCTGGAAGAGGACACCCTACAGAGAATCTGAGGCTGAGTAGCATTGGGGAGGTCAGGCTGAACCTTTATTCTGGAGGCGGTGGGAAACAATTGAGGACTGCAACGGAGAACAACCGCAGAATATTGGCTAACGCTTGTGTTCCCACCATCTGGCTAGGCACTGCATTAGCTCCCCCTCCCCCTGGTTAAGAGAGAAATAAGTTTTAGCTTCCCCTCAAAAGGAACTGAAGCTTCCAGTAATTAATTTGCATACCCGGATCTCTTTTCTACTATGGAAACAGTACTAATACATTTTCTTAAAGTTTTTAGGATTAAGACACCAGATATTTCCAGACATAACTAATAAGATATTGCTGGGGAGTAAACGACAGAAACTCTTGGTTTCAGGAACCAGAGGACTTTCTTTGAACCTTGAATAGGCCCCATAAAGCTCGAGGACCTGCTGGCCTCCCTCTGCAAACCAACGATCTTCCATCTTAGTTCTAACTCTTCTCCCTCTGTGATAGCTACTTGACTTTGTCATTGCACTACTGGCTAAAATTAGAATAAGGAAGCAAACTAAAGACCAGGCGTGGTGTCACATGCCTTTCATCTCTGCAGAGATTAAAGGGTAGGCAGAGGCAGGAGGATCTCTGTTTTCAAGGTCAACCTGGTTTACACAGCTAGTTCCAGGACAGCTAGTGCCCTGTAGACAGCCCCTGCACAAATAGTTGAGAGAGAGAGACAGACAGACAGAGAGATAGAGAGACAGAGAGAGAGACAGACAGACAGACACACAGAGAGAGACAGAGACAGAGACACAGAGAGAGACAGAGACAGAGAGATGGGGGAGGGAGGGGGAAAGAAGAGAGGGAGGGAGGAGGAACTAAGACAAACCAGCAAAGAGAGAGAATCAGCCAACACTTGGGAGGCCGAGGCAGGAAGAGTGTGGTTAGTTTGGGGCCAGCCTGGGCTACAGAGTAAAATTCTGTTTCAAGCAACAACAAAAAACCCTTTCCTCATTACAGCAATTACAATTATCAGTCAATTTTTTTTCCAGAGGACAGATGTCACAGGGGTGTCCTTCATTGGGTGTCACACTCCATGGCTCTCATTACCGAGGAGCTAAATGAACTGAATTCACTATTGCTGAGAGGTGTGAGTCAACCGTTGTGGAGACTCTCCCCACTGTGACCAGCTTGCCCTGTACACCACGGCTTCCTTTGTGATGTCCAAACTAGACCGCTGGCAACGCTAGAAACTTAGAGACCCTAAAGCAGGGAGGACAGGAATGCATGACTGAGTCGTTTTCACATGAGTTTTTTTTTTTTCACTACCGTTACTCACTTCGGATGATCTGTGTCTTAACCCCAAGCATGTTGGTTACACCTCATATTTAACTCACATGTACTTAACAATCCGAGAAGACCGATATGTGTATCGGATAAGTGATACTCTGCTTGATGCATCGAATCCATAAAAAGGGGCTCAGGAGAATTCCCAGGTTCCATAGAAATGCATTTTTACCTCCCTGAGTCCTTTTCTTTAACCCAGAGGGTGGGGCATGCGGTCTCCTAGGAGACCAGCGCTAATTGATTGCGCACGCGTACATTCCGGGTCCGGCTGATGCAACTTTCCGCGTGCGAGCCCGCTCTACCCGGAGTAAGGAAGCCGACAGGGACCACAGTGGTAGCCAATCCGCGGCCACGCACGAGGGTGAGGCAAGCCCGCCTCTCGGGGGATGGGGGTGGGGTTCTGCGAATGACGTTAGGTGGCGCTGGGCGGTAGGCGTAGACGCCCTCGGTGCCCGGTCTGGTCCGAGTGCGGCCATTTTGGGCTTCGCTTCCTCGCTGGCTCGCCCGCCACCCAGCCCTTCCGCCTGCGCGTTTCGCGCCTCGGTGCGGGCCGCGTTCTCCGGAAACGTCACCGCTGCCGCGCGAAGGGTCTGGACTTTGGCGGAGCGGTCTCCCACGAACTAGGACGCCTCCTTCCCCGCCGGGATGGACGTGGCAGCGGCCGCCACAGCCTGCTTGGGCTATCAAGCTGTGCGGTGCGCCGTCTGCCACGGAAGCCGCCGCTCCCTGGACCTCCTCTGCCGGCGCAGGAATCGGCCTGCAGTACCGACTCGGTGGCTGGGCAAGGCTGAGGCTGTGTAGGCCTCGGATCCCGCCTTCCCTGACGCCGCCGAACCCGCCGAGCTCCTGCCTGAGAACCTGCCAAGGAAAGGAGATGGAGCTGGGAACGCAAGGGCCTCGGATAGGCTCCTGGTTCCGGCTGCCCTTCCTTCGGCGATGGCACGCCTGCTCTTCCGAGTTCCCGACGCCGTCCTCGCGGGCAAACTCCGGGGACCCCGCACTGCCTGCCTCCGCTCTGCCCGAGCCTCGGACCAGGTACTGGGCCAGATTGCTTTCCCAGCTTTTTGCACTACTCCCTGGCTTGCTCCAGAAGCTTTTGATTTGGAGCCACCTTTTCGGTGGCATGATTGCGACCAGATGGCTAGATTTCGTAGCAAATTACAGCGGCTTGAGAGCCTTGAGAGGAGGGGAGGAATCTGCCGCCCCCACGATACAGAAATCCTTGAGTTCACTGCAGCTGGACTCTTCAGAAGAGTTGGTTGTCAGCCCGCTTGATTGGCTAGAGGAGGGTCTCCAATGGCAGTACTCATCCTCAGACCCGGAATTGAAATTGAAAGCCCAGGAAGGCGCTTTGGACTCGACCGCGCACACGTTTGTTCTGGAGCAGCGGCTGTGGGGGATGGAGCTGTTGCCCGGTAGTCTTCGAGCCGGTCTGGTCTCCCACCGAGAACTTGGCTCTTCTCCCGCCGGGCCTCTGGACACCCGGAGCGTAGGCAGTCTCAAGGTAGTTTCCTATCTACTGAACCCTTCCAGTCTAGACTGCCTGCCCCAGCTAGAGCTGCGCCGTCCGAACAGCGTTGGAGCTGGCCAACTCGTGGATTTCCGAACACTAACCCCAGAGAACTGTTGCCGTTTTGAAGATGGTTGTCATCCCCAACCACTGCGTGCGGAGATCTCGGCAACCGCGTGGCAAAGATGTCCCCCTCTTTCTACAGAAGGCCTGCCGGAAATCCACCACCTTCGTATGAAACGTCTAGAATTCCTTCAGGCTAACAAGGGGCAAGAGTTACCCACCCCTGAGCAAGATAATGGCTACCACAGCCTGGAGGAGGAGCATAGCCTTCTCCGGCTGGACCCACAACAGTGCACAGACAAGCCAGCACAGACGGCCTCTCCTCCTGGAGCCAGCCTGGAGCCCCCTGAGAAAAAGGACTTGTTGATTCAAGAAGTTTCCCAAAGCCCCCAGGAAAGTAGCCCGCTTCATCGGTTACCCGTGGAGAAAGAGTGTGAGGAGGACCACGCTAGTGTAGTTGACTGCTCGGCGGTACAGGACGACCTTCCTGTCTCTGCCAGACCAGTTTGTAGCAACAAGCTGATCGATTACATTTTGGGAGGCGCAGCCAGTGACTTAGAGACCAGCTCCGACTCAGAAAGTGAGGATTGGGACGAGGAAGCTGAGGATGATGGCTTTGATAGTGATGATTCCTTGTCGGAATCAGAGGAGGAACCGGACTCTGACGGGTTTCACCTTTGGAACTCTTTCTACAGTGTAGATCCCTATAATCCCCAAAACTTCACAGCCACAATTCAGACTGCTGCCAGCATTGTCCCTGGAGACCCGTGTGATTCAGGGAGGTCCTTGTCCGCCAACTCTGTAGGGAGTTCTCAGGCCAGACTCCTTCCTGAGACCCCTGGGCATAGTTCTGGGGAGGAAGAGGACTGGGAGTCCAGTGCAGACGAAGTGGAGAATCTTAGATTGTGGAACTCTTTCTGCAATTCTGAGGACCCCTACAACCTTTTAAATTTTAAGGCTCCCTTCCAAACGTCAGGGAAAAACTGGAAAGGCTGTCAGGGCTCAAAAGCATCTTCTGAGGCCATGGTGACCTTTTCTGGGTGTCACACCTTACTTTCGTGTAAGGTACAAGTGTTAGAGAGCCGAGAAGATGGTTGTCCAGACTGTGGGCTGGGTGAGGCTCTTTCTGGAGAAACATACACCCATATCAAGAGAAAAAAGGTTTGTTTCTTCCCTTTTAAATGCCTGGTGATTTGCTGTATTTTGGTAGTTACTATAGCAGCATGACTTATCCTGAGGAGGCATTATTGTGCATAGTTTCGAGGAAGACTTCTGAGCTCATGGGGTTGGATTGAGAAATACGCAAATGACCCTTCTTCCCAGTGTAGAGAAGTATTCCCATCTAGAGGAGGACGCCAGTGTGTAGATGTTAGCAGGGCTGTCATTTAGGTTGGTGGGTCCTGAAGTTTAAAAGTGGTTCACTTATATTTTGTTTGTGTATACTTAATATTTATTTTCATGACAGCAGTGTCTTTATTTCTGTCCATTGGAACCCAAAAGAATACTAGTAATTATTATATGATACTACTGATAATAACCTAAATAGCAAGTTAGGTTTATCTAGTTGTTTGCCCTGAAGGGACGTGATTGTGGTGATGTATGCCTGTAATTCCATTGCTTGGGAGTTGCAGGTGGATTATTTTGTGAGTTTTGGAGTCTAGCTTGGTCTACATAGTGAGTTCCAGACTTGCCAGGAATACATGGATGGGACCTTCTCTCAAAAAGAAAAAAAAAAAGCAATACTCCTGGCTTTTCCTGTAACTCACTGTGTCCTGAGCTGGCCAGAACATTCAGCCCATTTTGTTTTTAGGTCTCACTGCAAACTGGCTTAGAACTCACTGACGTTCAAGCTGGCCTCAAAGTCATGCTGAGCCTGGTGCCTCGGCCTCTGAAGTTCAGGGATAGCTGTGAGCCTCCAGGCTGATTTTAAAACTTCATGGAACAGTTTACTCTGATTATATTATTAAGTTTAGTTGTTCAGGGTATTTGAATTGCTTTATTTCTCTTACTGCTTATTCAGCTGAAGTTATTAACTGAGAAAGCATGCCACCCCCAAACGCAAAGATGTTTTTTATTGTTGAGGGAGTTTCTTTAGTTTCTTATACTTGCACCAGTATAAGACAGTGTTGTGAGCCACTGGCTCCAGAGGGCCAGCTTTAAAACTATTCTTGAGACAGGAACTATCTAAATGGTGGTGATTCACCTCTTGCCTATGGAGGCATGATAAGTCATGCTAAAAATTAAATTTTAGTTTGCATTTCAGAATGATACAATGAGAGAGTCCATTCATTCATTCATTCATTGCCACATCCTGAACAAGGGGGGTCTACCACTGAGTCACATCTCCAGGTCTCATTATTCTCTTCAATAAAGGCAAATGCTTTTGAGAGGGAACAAAGTGGAGTAGTGGACCCAAGCACTTGGCCTCTGTTCAGGAGCATTAGGTCTGAGATGTGTTGCGGGGAGCGGGGGCAGACAGTCAGACCAGACAAGTTACTTTAACTGCCATGCCCCTGATCATTTACTTATCCAATGGGAATACTAAGACCTGTTGTAGAAGTTTCGCAAGACTTGTTTTGTCTTGTGATGCTGGGGGTTGAATCCTGGACCTGCTGCATGTTAAACATGCACCCTGCCACTGAGCTAGTTACACCTGCAGCCCGAGTTACCAGTGAGTAAGTAAAACTCATAGGTAGTTCATTTCTATGTCTTTGAATGGCTAAGGCCAACCTCATGTCTTAGTTTCGCTTAAGACTATTGACTGAATGGAACCAAAACTAGAAGAGATTGTGTCTAAGTATAGTTACTTAACAGCCCTTGGCTACCTGCCATTTAGTTTTATGGGACTGATGAGTAGTGCCCAATTCTTAGAATAAGATCGTGGAGTGTAAAATACATTGTGTACTGGCAGAACAGCAGATAGTAGACTTTTTCATCCTAGTTATACCTCTTAAATGCTGTAGGGTTTGGGCTGGTCACTGGCATCTGGTTCCTTGTCTGTACAATGGTGATAATACTGGTTCACATCTCAGGGTTGGCTCAAATGAGGAGCAAATGAGAAAGTTCATAAACTTCTTTGAAAAAAGTTTGGCATTTGATAAGCAGTATAAAAGGGCTTATTTTATTTATGTTAGTGACCATGACTAGGTAACCACTAGAATGCAATATCTAGTAAGGTGTTACATGCCTACTAATTGTCCTCAGGGGCATTCCTAGGCCTGATGTAAAGGGAAGGAAAGCTGTAGGTCTCGCGGGACTAGCTGATGTAACTATTAAACGTGCTTTAAAGCAACTTTTTTTTTTTTGAAGCAAGGTCTCATGTAACCCATTCTGACTTCTAACCCTGATTGTTCTGTCTCAGCTTCTAGTGCTGGGGTCATAGGTGTGTCTTGACTTTTTCAGGGTTTTAGTGGTTACTCCCCGAGTACTTTTTCATTTGGAGGAAGAATACTAAAAAACCAAATTTCTGCATTTCTTTAAGAATTAGAGGATGGGGGGATTAATAATTGGAAAATCCAGAATTTCAACAGCATAAAAGAAGAATTGGGCTTGAAGAGACTGTTATCTGTAGATTTGTGAAGAAATGCACATCTATTTTTGCAGCATTGTTGACTATTTCATTACCTTCATGTGTAGTGGGGACAAAGATTCTTTTGGTGTCAGTGTTCTAAGATCCTGGAGTTTTTAACATTGGGTTTGTCTTTCTAGGTAACCTTCCTTGAAGAAGTTACCGAGTATTATATAAGTGGTGATGAGGATCGCAAGGGACCATGGGAAGAATTTGCAAGGGATGGATGCAGGTTCCAGAAACGGATTCAAGAAACAGAAGATGCCATTGGCTACTGCTTGACATTTGAGCACAGAGAACGGATGTTCAATAGGCTGCAGGCACACACTTCAGAAGACACACTATTGCTCATTGATGTTAAGACTAGTGAACAGTCCTGGCCTACACTCTCTCTTGCTTGAGAGGTTTCTCTTAAAAACAAATATTGGCAGCTGTCCTTGGACATGTTTTTAAAGAAACAACTTGTATCTAGTGATGTAGTTGAATTATTTTTTGGGTAATGTGTCTCATTAGAAACACCAAATCTGATAATGAAGGATCTCTATTTTTAATCCTCTCTTTTCCTTTTAGTTGGATGTGGTTTTGAGACAGAGTCTCACTACATAATTCTGGTTGGCCTGGATCTTTGTAGACCATGCTGGTCTTAAAATTGGTACCTTCTTGCCTCTGCTTCCTGTGCCACCATGCCCAGGTGGATGTGGTGGATGTGGTTGTAAATATCTTCTGCTTCCTTGAGGATAGGAAAAGGGACTCAGTAAGTCGTTACTTTGCACTTTTAAAACTTTTCTCCTGGAGGTAGAGGACAGGCAGGCTCACATAGCTGGCTCCAGGCCATCCAGAGCTGCGTGGTGAGACCCAGTCTTAAAGAACAAACAGAACAAAAGGTCGTTTGTTTTGGTTTTTTGAGACAGGGTTTCTCTGTGTATCCTTGGCTGGCCTAGAACTTGCTCTGTAGACCAGACTGGGCTCAAACTCACAGAGATCCACTTGCTTCTGCCTCTCATCCTGAGAAGTTTCTTTCCAGGCCTGTAATTACAGTTACTTTGGAGACTGAGGCAGGAGGAGAGAAAATTCAAGGTCTGCCTGGGCCGCATAGTGAATTCAGAGCCAGTGTGGGTAGTTTAGCAATCCCTTGTCTTTAAATGAAAATGGAAAAGGAGGCTGGGATATGTTAAACAGCAGAGGGCACTTGCCTACTTGTGCAAGGCTCTAGGTTCAATCCTCAGTACTGCATATTCAGTTTTAATTTAAATTATGCATACCTATCTAAAAACTTTGGGTTCTTGTGTTTTTCCTATTCTAAAATGAGTGGGCTTTTGTTTTTCTGTATATATGTATGTGTGTTTGTATATTTGAGATGAGAGATTGAGGCACAGTCTCAACTGTGGCCTTGAGCTCATGGCAGTCCTCTTGCTTTAACCTCCAGAGTGTACATGTAGCATATATATATATATATATATATATATATATATGTATGTATGTATGTATGTATGTATGTATGTATGTATGTATGTGCACATATATATGTATGTATGTATGTATGTATGTATGTATGTGTATATATATATAGACTATGCTTGCACTTTTTTCCACTTTCATAGATTTGACCTATTTACCTGAAGGCTAAAATCTATTGTGCTTGTTATCAACTTAAAAGACATTGTTGTATCACTTGGGATTTCCTCCCCTGAATTTAAAGAATTAGTCTTGTGTGGCCTAGGCTAGCCTTGAACTTAACTTGCGTAGCCAAGAATGACTTTGAAAGATCCTCTTGTTCTCTTGTTAGGAATGCATATGTGTTTGCCACACATCCAGATCTTTTTCTGTTATCTAGGTCTATTTAAGATATTTCCAAGGACCACCACAAACCCACAAGTGCAGCACTTTCTTGACTGGGAAAGCTGTGTCAGTGTGCTCTTTACAGACTCACACTGTGATGCCCAGCTGGCCTGCCAAACTTTGTCTAGCGTGTTTGATTTCTTTGCAAACTGTATTTGGAAGGTTTCTGTGTTGTAGTTCCAGTTGAATGTGGCTCTTTAACTTTCAGTGGGTAGGAATTGTAAAGCACTCTAGGAAGTAATCATTGCATTGTAGGCATTCAGTTTTTAAACTTAAAAGCCTAGAATTTTCCTAGGAGGAATATACAGACACCTCAGAAATTCAGTTTTGTTTTATGTACTCTTAACAGAAAGCCAGTGTTACTTATACCCTGCCTCAGCACTGTCACTTTTAAAACCTGTCATGGTGACACTGTAAACTTGGATTGGGCAGTTCTGAATTTTTAAGTGTGAAATGTCAAATACAACTTCAATGTCCAGGTTTATTGTGTTCTGTCTTACAGAGAAGCAATGGTGAGGACTGCTCTTTGAGTAAAGCATAAAGTATAGCTAGTACAGTCAGAATATCTTAGTAACCCAAAGCTTGCTTTTGAATGTGTGCCTGGTTTATTTGGTTGGCTTTATCTGCTGTGTGCATGCTAGGTTGAGGTATGTTTTATCACCTCTTTAGTGGTCAGTCCTTACTCTGTGCCTCCTGCCATGCGTAGCGGGAACACAAACGAAAGAGAGGTCCACTAAATTGATAGTGGGGATGAATTTTCCCAGAAGAGCTAGCAGCATAACTACCTCAGTTTATGATCTCCCTGGTTATTTCCGTTGGACATGCTCTAAGGTCTGCCCCCGTGGTGAAAATGTTCATTCACACTAAGAGTACAGCACCAGAAAAGTTGGTCTTAGTTTTGCAGAACCCTCATTCTGTGTATTTTGCACACTTGTGTTTAGTGAACTCCAGAGTGCATTGCAGTCTGCTATAGTGCTGTGGAAATGGGCTAGCTAGAAGCCATGTCATTTGGAAAGCAAGCATGTTAACTTAGGAAGGAAAACCGTCACAATACATAGACATTCTTTTAAATCCAGACTGCAGCTTAGCATTTGATTTCAGATATTTAGGTGTGTTGTGTTTCTGAGACCTGGCACCTGTATATTTGCAACAGAATGGGACATCTTTCTGTCTGTACATTCATTGGGTATTTGAAAATTGTTTCAGTTTCCACCTTCACTATCTAATGAGTAAATGACTGGTTAAAACACTCTGGTCCACTGCCCGCCTACATACAGACATGGTTAGATGGTGGCAAGGACAAAAGAAGCTTTACAAATTGACTGAAGGAGAAGAACAAAATTATTGTCATCCCAGTCCCAGATGTTACAGTCTCTCCCAAGGAAAGAAAACCTCCAAGGCAAGGCAAGTCGTGGAGGTTTTTTAGCTGAATATTTTACACATTCATGCCTTGCAATGGTGCTTTAAAGATCTGTGTAGCTTGTGAGAGAGGCTCTGTATGGATGGGGGTCCCCACTTCTGAGTGCTAAGTGGGGCAGCCCTTCATCTGTAACTTGAAATCAAAACTGTCAGAATTATTTTTTATAATTTAAGGAAGGTGAAGTTTGGGAACAAGATTTTTGAGTTGGCTTCTTCAGATCAATAATTTTAAATGTACCTAGTGGAGATTTTATAGTTCAGATTATATTTGTATATAATTATTAACTAATCTGTAAATTGTAATAAACATATTTGCAATTATTAAATGCTGTGGTATTTTTATGTATCCTTTTGCATTGGTTTGGTATTATAGGACAGGGTTTTCAGAGTTAAATCAGTTTTGTAGAAAGTGCTGTAGGCGACCTGAAAAGACATCTGGGTCAGATAAAAAGTGGCTTCTCAGCTAGTTGAGGTGGGGGAGTGGGGAGCAGAAATGCAGGTGAAAGGTACTGTCTTAGTGATAATAGGGCAGGTTGGATATCAAGAGTGTGAATTTTCCTTTAATCCCAGCACTTGGGAGGCAGAGGCAGGCGGATCTCTGTGAGTTCGAGACCAGCCTGGTCTACAAAGTGAATACTAGGATGAGCTCCAAAACTACACAGAGAAAGCCTGTCTTGAAAAACAAAGGGAGTGTGAACTTTTTGCGGTGGTTTTAGGCAGCCATTGCTAAGCATACCTGAGGGCTGAGGTACAGAGCGCACCGTTGAGCCTGGCTGCCAACAATCGCTTCTAAGAAGTGAGGTTTCATTCCCAAGTCAGAGCCAGCTCCAGCAGCTGCCATTCCCCTGTCCCCTTCTCCTTTTCTGCCCTTCACTTGTTCAGTGCTGGGTTCTTTTCACATTCATGTAAAGGCATGTTTTGTTTGCAGGTACATCTATCTGCACACCAGAAGTCATCTGATCCCATGAGACTATATCTAAGTGATTGTGAGTCTCCACGTGGGTGCTAGGAACTGAACTCGGGACTTCTGAAAGAGCAGCCAGTGCTCCTGTAACTGCTGAGCCATTTCTCCAGCACCCCTGGATCTTATCTAGGTTAGGGTACCCTATCACTGAGCTCATCCTCAGCTGTTTTTTTTTTTTTTTAATTTTAAAAAGAGCAACAAAACAATCAAGCTTTGTCTGTGTAGGAAGCTGCTTTCTGTGTTTGCCCAGTGGATCCGCAGAGCTGGAGTTGACAGGCAGTTGTAAGCTGCCTTGGGTGCTGTGGAAGCACCACGTCAGGTGCCTTAACTGTTGGGCTATCTCTCTAGCACCCTCCACCCCCCCCCTTCTTTTTTTTTCTGGCTTTTTGAGACAGGTTTTCTCTAATTGTCCTGGCTCTCCTTGATTTGTAGACCAGTCTGGTCTTGAACTCATAGAGATCACCTGTCTCTGCCTCCCAAATCCTGGGGTTAAAGGCATGCACCACCACCTTCCAGCTCTCCAGTCCCTTTAATACAAAATTTCAAGCAGTTATTTAATACTGATCTCATTAATCATTAAATGGATTTGGGGATATAGTGGTCTGATGGACTCTTTGGAGTTACTTTTCTGCTTCCACCTTTAAGTAGCTTCAGAGATAAAATGCAGGTGGTCAGATTTAAATGGCAAGGTCTTTACCCCCAAGCCATCTAACTGTCTTTATGTGTCTTGATGGGTCTGGATCCCCTGCCTTTGCTTTCCAGGTACCGGGATTTCAGGCACATCCCCTGCGCCCTCCCCATGCACATACATACACATATACATACTCACTCGCTGCTTGGTGTGCTTGGTGCACTGAGAAAGGGTCTCCTGTGGCCTTGGCCACCATACCCAGCTGGCGAGGCTGCTGAGCCCTTAAGCTCAGTGTGAATCCCCATGTCTACCCCAGCATCCCATTCCTCATGCTGGTTCTAGCCAGTGCCAGGAGACCTGATCTTTATATGGGTTCTGTGGTCTGAACTCAAGTCTTCATGCTGACTTCTCTCCAGCCTTCTTAATTATTCTTTGTAAGTAGACATAAGGGGCTGGAGAGATGGCTCAGTAGTTAAGAGCACTGGCTGCCCTTCCAGAGGTCCAGGTTTGCTTCCCAGAACCTATGTGGTGGTTCATATTGGTGACCATGACTCCAGTTCCAGGAGGCCCAGTGCAGCCTCTTCTGCACTAGGCATGGATGTGGTGCACAGACATACATGAAGACAATTTACATATAAAATTATTTCTAAAAAATTTAAGGTAGAAATGGGACTCTACTTTTTTCCCATAAAAATGTATTATGAAAGTAACATAGAGCCATATATACACATTCTTGCTATATATTTTTTTCTTTTCCACTTGCATGTGTGTGATATGTATATATGTTTTTGCATGAGTATGTGCATGGAGGGGGGAGTGCTGTGTGCAAGTCACCATGCCCTCCGGCCATTTACATGTATTCTGGGGATCCAAACTCCAGTCCTCATGCATGGCAAGTGCTTTACCCATCTCCCCACTCTCTGGACACATTTGTAAACAAGAGCCGCCCATCTAATTTTACATGTGAAAGCTTTTAATACTCATTTAGGCGATCAGAATGGGATTGTAATCCATCTGGAATATTTTGCACCAGCTGTCCGCATCCTCTGTATATGAACTTGGTTGAATTGTAGGATATTTTCCTGGATCTGCTCAGTGAGACTTAAGATTATGTCAATCATGGGGCAATACACAAAGGCAGCAGAACAAAAACCAAGGGACCTTTTCCCCAGCCCCGTTCACTGTGAGGACACCAAGGCCCAACTGACTTCCAATGACAGGTCCTCCTGCCAGATTGGACACCAAAGACACTATGGTTTGGTTTGGTTTGGTTCTTTCGAGACAGGGTTTCTCTGTGTAGCCCTGACTGTCCTGGAACTTCACTCCGTAGACCAAGCTGGCCTTGAACTCAGTGATCTGCCTGCCTCTTCCTCCCATGTGCTGGGATTAAAGAAGAGCACCACCACTTGGCTGCTAATTTTTAGATTGTGTGTGTCACACAGACACATCCATGTGAATACAGGTGTTCCCACAGTGTGTTGGCGCCTCTGAAGCTGGAGATACAGGTAGTGTGAGCTGCTCAATATGGGGGCTGAAAACCAAACTTGGGTCCTTTACCAGATCAGTTTTTACAAACTGTTTTATTTAAAGTTTTTAATTGTTTTATGTGAGTGTTTTGCATGCATGTATCTATATGCACCACAGTGCGTGCCTGGTGCCCGAGGGGGTCACGAGAGCATTGAATCCCCCCGGAACTGGAATTAAGGACAGTTACTGACCACCGTAGGGGTGCTGGAAACTGAGCCCAGGCTGTCTGAAAGCAGTAAGTGCTCTTACCACTAAGGGAATATGTGACATATAGTTCCTCCTATAATCTCCATTCCATCAGTTCTGATCCTCTAGAGAACCCTGACTGATATAACGTGTATGGCTGTTTAGACTGCACACTACTTACATGTGTCAGATCTCCTGAAAAGGAGTTACAGATGATTGTGAGCTACCAAGCGGGTACTGGGAATCCAACCCAGACCCTCCGCAAGAGCAACAGATGTTTAATTGCTGTACCGTCTCTTCAGTCCCTTGCTTTTTTTTTTTTTTTTTTTTTCTTTTGAGATGGTCTCATATAACCCAGGCTGGCCTTGGGTTAGCTGTATAGCTGAGGTTGACCTCCAGCTCCTGAGCCTCTGCCTCTGCCTTCCCGGAGCTGGGATTTCAGATGTCTGCCACCACACCTGGCTCATGCTATTCCCCTTAATATCACCAGGAAGAGATGGAGAATGATTTGTGGAAAGTTTATTGCTTGCTCCGTGGTGATGATAGGATAAGTAGCTAATGGGACTGCTGTCTTGTGGCCATGGGGTCTCGAACCTGCGCTACCTGGGAGAAAACTTTGGAGCAGACTTTCAGGCTTTGTTCTTCTGATCACTTGCCCTCCTCTCATCTCAGTACTATCTTTGCAGTTTCCTCTTGCTTTTATTGTTGATTTTTAAAGAGAGTCTCATGTCCAGTCCAGCCTGGCCTCAAACTGCCTGGGTAACTGAGGGCATCCTGCTGAGTTCCCCATCCTGCCTCAGCCTGAGTGTCTTAGTTTGCATGACCAAAAGCGACTTGGGGAGGAAGGGTTCATTTGACTTAAGCTTTCAGATCACTGCCTGTCACTGAGGGAAGTCAGGAGAGAAACCCAGGACAAGAACCTGGAGGCAGGCTGGGTGGTGGTGCACCCCTTTAATCCCAGCACTTGGGAGGCAGAGGCAGGTGAGTTGGAGACCAGCCTGGTCTATAGGAGCTAGTTCGAGGACAGCCTCGAAAGCCACAGAGAAACCCTGTCTCAAAACAAACAAACAAACAAACAAAAGAGCCTGGAGGCGGGACTGAAACCACTAAGAACACCGATTACGGCTTGGTCTCCACGCTGCACAGCTTGCTTTCTTACACTACCCCGGACCTCCTCCTCAGAACTTAAGAATTAAGATGAAATAGATAAGTAATCAATAATCGATCAAGAAAATGCCCCATAGCCCTGCCTCCAAGCCATCTGGTGAGGGCATTTTCTCAGTCTAGATTCCTCTTTTCAGGTGATCTAGTTTGTGTCAAGTTGACAAAGGACTCTGAGCCACCATGCCTGGTGATATCTTCACTGTTTGCTAGATTTTTGGTACCCTTCAGAAGCATCCCAGGGATGTTCAGGGTTAAAGACATGACAGCATAACCAGGGAATGCTACTGATTTCCTAACGGGGCTCCGGCATTAATTGGATCTGAAGGCAAAGACTGGAGGAGTCCGGCAGAGGTTTTTTGTTTGTTTGTTTTCTTTAAACTCATGGAGACATGAGTTTAGAAACTTGAGAGATGGCACCATCTTGGCAGTGGTGGCATACACCTCTAATCCCAGTACTCAGGAGACTGAGGCAGGAAGATCTCTTCTGAATTCCAGGCCAGCCTGGTCTACAGATCGAGTTCCAGGACAATTTCCAAGAGAAACGGGGGGGGGGGCATAGAAGCAAAAAAAGTGTTTACTACCATGCTCAGTCAGGCTGGCACCCATGATGATGTTTTGGGTTTTGTTTTAAATTTGTTTATTTTTTTTGAAAAGTATTTTTATGTATATGGGTGTTTTGTCTGTATGTGTGTCTACGCACACGTGTGCAGTGCCTAAGGAGGCCACATCCCCCAGAACTGGAGTTACAGATGGTTGTGAGCTGCTTTCTGCGAGGTGGGAATCGAAGCCAGGTCCTCTGGAAGAATCCAGTTCTCTTAACCCATAAATCACCTCTCCAGCCTTGTTTTTGAGAC